CTTTGGACACGAAAACGCCTTTTCCGTGGTTCCAGTAGCGTTTTGTCTCCCCGCGCCCCCACCCGCATCTTGGGTCCCGGTAGCAGCATCTCTCCGCTCCGAGAAAGCGGGGGTGCAAGGACGTTTCTAACGGGGACGAGGAGCGCTGGCGCCCAGCACCCACACCGCTGTGTTTCTTTCAGAGGATACGACGGGAAATCTGATCTTCACGTGGGAATAACCAACAGCAACGGTATCGCAGTTGCCTTACAAACTACTGCCCCTCTCCCACACCCCGTAGTTGGACCGTATGCCCAGCAGTTCGGCCGTGCCCCCTCCACCTGAGGTAATCCAGATGTGACGGTGACTTCAGAGCCACCGCTCCTGCTGCGGCAATATCTGGTACCCGTTAGAAACGCAGGCTGCAACATCCAAATACCTGACGCTTCGCTGTCGAGGAACGCGTGCTTCCTCAGCGTGCCGCAGGTATCGGAACCGGGAGCCTTGCTGTTCACTACAAAAGAGTATCACGTTAACGGTCAAAAAAATCTTGAGTCCAAGAATTTCTCTCGCCTTGCAGCAGTGAGCACACAGGGCTTGAAATCAAAGCCGTACACCTCTCCTCTCATGCTGAGGAGCTGCGCAGAATGGAGTTGACAGGTGACTTCTGTTCCTGACACAGGGAAATAAAAAGCTAGGCAGCCTACTTTTTTTGAAGAAGTTTCAGGAAATTTTGACTTAAACACAGCTTTTTCTAATTCTAAGAATACCCCTAATAAAATAATAAAGTTAAAAAAAGCTACATTAAAAATCATATCACGTTCTCCTAGTAGGCCCATCCTGCAAAATCTCACTTGAGATACTTATTTAATATAAAAATGGTCTAATTCAGGGGTTTAAAAAAGAAGCCTGGTTGTCCTTAAGCTGCTTTCATTGTCAGAAGACACCTGAAATTACATTGTAAAAATGAGAACAGTTTTTCGGTAAAAGCAGGGACTGCGTTCTCTACTCTGTAGCCACATAAGGCCACCGACGGGAAGCCTAAGAAGGAACGGCAGTACGGAAAACTAGCAGTAGCTTTCATCATTTGAGTAAAGCCCGAACACAAACCCAAAGGCTATGAATCCGATTCTCCGGTGCCACCTGACAATCTGTTCCTCTTTATTTTCAGGCGTGGTGTATAATTACAACGAAGAGGGCATTCACAGAGCTGAAACGGGATGGGAACAGTGCATTAGTATCCCACTAGTACAGCCAGACATGTTTGGGCTTCTTCAGCAGTGGGATGCGCTCCTAGAGGAGTTTTCTGTGGGAGAGGCCTGGCTTCCTCACAGGTATGTAGTTTAAAAGCTGGACGCAGTGGGAGTTTTTAGTCTGGGATGGTAAATTGGGCTATTCTGGTTTGGACCCCGCGAGGCTTGTGGTTCATTCAGAGCCTCGCTCCTTTACAACACACATTTCTAACAAACCAAGTCTAAACAACGCTATCACTTGAAACTTAGTGGCCTTGCTAAACAGAAAAAAAGAGTATTTTTAAGTAGTAAGTAACAAACTCGTGCTGGAACGTAAAAGCTCTAAAATAAGACATCATTTTAGGGAAGTTTTCTTCAGCAACAAGAATTTCGCATTAAAGAAAAACCCCAGTTCACTGAAACATTACCTTGAAGAGTACACTGCTGGGTACAGCAGCAGGAAAGTCCAGGCGCAATTCTGTAATTATTTCTTCTAGGTTTCCACAGTTTTAGGTGTATTTGCATTTACAGGCTGACCACGCTGATGGGATTCTTGCCCAGATCTTGCATCCAGATGACTTCTTTGTTGTCAGTGATCAGAAATAGGAAACGCACCTCATTTCCAGCTCTTCCAGCTGGTTTGTAACATTGCTTTGGATAGTTAAATACAGAAAGACTTCCACACATTTTTAATTAAACCAGTCTGTTCCAACGAGAACGTTCAGTTCTTTGTAGCTTTCCTTGCAGTTAATGCCTGATGTCATTACAAGTCACGCAGCCCAGCTAAAACACGCGCTGCCACATCACCAAGCCGGCTGATGACAAAGCAGCCTGCTCTCCGGAAAACCAGTCCTTGAACTGTTCACCAGGAACAGTACATGTAACAAACAGCTTGTCTGAGCATAGTTCTGTGAAGTGTTTAAGTTAATGAATGCAGACGTCATCTTATATAAAAGAAAAAAACCCCACAACAAATCGAAAGCAGGTTTTGGCAACGTGCAGGACTATAAAATGTCAGAGATAAATGTATTACCTCCCTAATACCAGGAGATGAAAGAATTTGACCTACAATAGAATTTTGAAACGCCTATGGAACTTGTAAAGCCAACAGGATTTGTGTCTTTTACAGTTCCCAGTGCCTTAAATTATTACTAAAATTAACTTGATGTCAAAAAAGCACTGGTAGAAGGTGGATAGATGAGTGCATCTCTTCTACAAGCTTTTCTTTGGTTTTCCTCCGTCTGCCACCTCCTGACAAAGTGACCTCCTTTTTCCACAAATAGGCCAGTGACCACTAAACTGCTAAAAAGTGAACTTTTTTTTTTTAAAGATGTTAAATTAACTCCTCTGTTTATTTTTTTCGATGGGCAGGAACTGCGCTAAACTAATCCTGTAACTCCTTTGGGTTCAGGCCAAGCCTAATTCTAATTTTCTTGACTGCTTTTCATTTACGGGAAGGATGGTGTACAACAGCAGCAAAGAACAGAGGCCACAGCCATGACCAACAATATCTTGAATTACTGAGAGATACTGGGTTTGCTTGTCAGGATATAGACGTGCTTCCCAAAAATGAGATGCTAACTGGAAGACGGTAAAGAGCAGCGTATTACAGAATCTTTTGCATTAGAAATACAAAAATGAAACGTTACGTGCTCTGCTTAATCGTGGAACTGATTCAGTAAAGCACTTGTGTACACGTAAGTTACCCAGACATGCTGCGGCGCTCTGCAGACTCAGCCTTGAGCTGGTGAACCCAACATTTTTTTCAGTGTAATTTCCAGATGTTTTGTACTGCACAGTGATGATGGCCACTCCTGAAGTTATTCGTAATTATTCTTCCTTAACAATCATTTTGGTAAAGTAAGTACACTGTAGCAAATTGCTTGCTTACTAAATGGGAGCTCGTAGGTCACTTCAGATACCCTTAACAAACCAGAAGAGCTTTGAAGAAAACGGTGAGCTGTCCTGAACTGGGCTCAGGGTCGCAGGGTTGCTTTTGATACCCGTAGTCCTCAGATCTTGCAAAAACACCTTGTAAATTCCCAGGGCTGACAGGCAAGCCTCACAGAAGATTCCCTGTGGCAACACAGACCACGGAGCCGCTGACAGTACAAGGCAAGGAATGAGTCACAGGGCTAGGAAGAACAAGGGAAAAATGACACAGGATGAGGCAATTACAGAAGAAGCTTGAGGATTGGGCAGATGGCAAACAGGAGTCTGAGCAGGTCTGCATCAAATGCCGTTATACGGGGCCAGGGGAAAAAGCAGCACTATGTGGTGAGGGAATGGAATAAATTACGGAAGTTGTTAGTGGCCAACATGAAATGTTTGGGAGAATCTGAGAAACATTCTGACAGTGAAAAGAACAGGTAAGTGCCATAGGTTCCTAGGTTGGGGCGGGGGGGAGAAAAAAGGCAAGAGCATTTTAAATGGCTACTCCTATTCAGTTAGTATTTCTGTCCTTGCACAATTGGCACAGATTACTGCCAGTGGGATTTTGACGGGCACACCGTACAGCAACTGTATCAACATAGTAGTGGTAGAATTTACTTTTAAGTAAGCTTCCAAGTTAATGCCACACTGAAAGAAGTGCACATGGTGGCACACAATTAACATTGCTGCTGCAGAAAGAAGTTTTCAGGATAACAGAGTAACAATATATGGAAGAGCAACGGTTAACAAGGTAAAAGCCAAATAAGTATAAAAAATAAAAACTCGTTTTTGTAAAGTCTGCAGTCATTTTTTTTTTTTTTTTTTTTTTTTAAGCTCACAGTTTCTAGTATCCCTGGCTGGAAAGTACAACTTGCGATGGATAGAATATATTTAAGCACCAGCATTAAAGGAAAGTGGCAATAGTTCTTGGAGAGCATGCGCTTCCTTATTTCCCTCAGTAAAATATTCCTCCATGCACAGTAATTAATGGATTAGTGCCAACTCTTGCTAACAAGTTATTTTTCCTAGGTATGAAGAACATGACCACAACTGCTACACATATGCACTGGCATTCATTAACAGTGTACTGACCGCACAAGGAAAACGGCAAATGAGTAAAAGTGAATTTACAGAGAAATTCGTGATCCCACAGACAAAGAAAGCTTCCAAATACATTACTCTGCATCAGGAGCTAACAGCTAATGATTTCTACATTGTACCCCTTCCTGATCAAGAAAAACAGTGCTGAAAATGACTGTTTTCACAGTCACATTAAAACATCTACAATGTGCAATAGGAAATCTTAAGACTCCAAATCTCAAGGTTTAAGATGCATGATCTACTTAATGTGTTTAAAAACACAATTAACTTTACATGTTAACCTGCACATCATGGAAGGACCAGGAAACTGAACTTGTGCGCTGGAATGAAATAACATACGTACAATGTACACACCACAGAAAATTGCTATGGGAACTATTCGTACGGAACAATGTTCTCCTATTTACCTTCACTGTATGCTCTGTTCTGTCAAGACACTTAATACCAGGAATTGTAACTGCTGCGTAATTAAGGGTTTTAACAAATGAACTGTGGTAACTTAAGCTGTAGCAAACCAAAATGGTTTTTTCCTGTCACACTTGTTTACTGATGAGTGGGAAAAAAAAAAAGGGAATTTGTGCTTGCGTGCTGCTGAAATCCAAAGTCCATGATTTGATGCAGATTCACTACATGCAAAATTATTTTCCTTTAATTACTAATAAACAGAACAACAAATAAATCCAGCCTCTTTGCCAGATACATTTCTTTTCCAATTCTTATTTACATTTTGCACATTTATTCCTCAAACCAAGACAAATGCTTAGTATTAAAACATACATTAGTCTGTATCTGTTCGTATCTGTAATAAGCAACAGACTCCTCGGGATTTATCTTGGAGTTAAAACTTTAGAACTTAACAAAAAGAAGTTTAAGTTTAAAAAAATTAAAAAGATCCTCCAACAGCACTTCTACCTGTTGTACATTACACGGCAGTGTATGCTGAGGTCAGAATTGTGCAGTCCATAATTTTGTGCAATTTCACTTTACTTATGTTCAAATTTAAGAAAATAATTTCAACTTTTTTTTCCCTTCTACTAATTTCTGCACAGTAAGCTAGTTTTAGTCTAGATGTAAGTCCTATTTTCTCAAAGATGGAGAAGTAACCATAAATGATTGGGGTTTTGTCCACATCTAGTTTATACTTTTGTATACACAAACTGCATTAACCCTGCCCCCAATACTCTAAAGCTGCATACACCACACTTTACACACTTCTCCCCTCTCCATGTTCTTCCACTTCTTGCTGAATTCTAAGTTATAGCTCCTTTAAAAGCATATTAAAAAACACAAGAGACAACCAGCTTGAGATGAGCAATTCGGCTGCTGTTAGAGACCTCCTATCCACTCACTCCTAGTGCAAATCAGAATTCTTCGGCTAGGATTTGGCTTACAAACAGAAATTACAGTATGCTATTTCTGAGTGAATGAGAATCCATACTTCATTTAAGTACTGTATTTTAATCGGTAAAATATAAATACAATGGCAAGTATCAGTGCTATGGTACAACTATCTAATGTAAGTTGATACAACAGTACTGAAACATGAAGTACAGTCATCTGCAGCTAGAAAAAAAAACACCTTGCCACATACAGTCAACACATACATACCCGTCCAGCTTTGACAAAGCTATTATGCAATTAACATTTTCATTTTACATCTTTCCAGTAGAAGTCATATTAAATGAAAGCAAAGACTAGAAGATTTTCCACTTCGACTTGTGTGTAGTTTCCTGCATTCATGACATGGCTTTACAATCTAAACTGCCTAAGTAACGCAGCCTGTGGGTTTGTGTTTGGTGGGAACAGTCTGAGTTGACAGAATTTTTACCAGCCCTGGAAAACTTCCTGCGACCAGGAGGCAAACCCCCTTTTAATAGTGAATGAAAACAGCACAAAGAAAATCCAAAACAGTGTCATTGTCACCAGCTATAATGTAGCCTTACTGTTGCAGCAAATGTGTTCTCTCACAACACGGGGTGGGGGGGGGAATAAAAAAATTATTAACAGCACGGTGAAGCAAGGACGCCTGTTGTTCAAACACTAAGATGGATTTCAAATGCCTGAATCTAAAGCAGCAATACTTAAAATGCAGCATAGTTGACACTTAAACCTCCTGGCTCTACTTGAAAGACAGCTGAATACCTGCTGGGTTGGTTGGTTGGTTTGTTTTCCAAATGTGGCTCAGCAATAGTAAACATCGTATTTCGCAACCTGCAATCTAGGTGATTAAATCTTACAAAAAAGTTAGAAAGCAGCAGGCACCTAGCATAGCAAGGCAGAACTGCTCAGCACTGTCCTATACCTCACTCTATACAAAACACGGCGGTGCCTCCCAGTCTGTTTTACAACATATGATAGGCCAGGGCAGAGAGAGCTACAAGTGCACTATGAAAAAAAATGTATAGACTGTTGTAGTTGCTGGGTAAAAGAGAAAAAAAAAGCAGTGATGAAACTGAGACTTATACTTACGAGCTAGAGAGACTGACTTGCTCTCGCTAGCTCAGCAAACCTTCATTATTTTCTGCACAGTAACCCATCTTCAACAAAAGTAAAGGGCATCACAACTTGCGGTCAGGGCATCTTGCTGTCATGGGACAAGATTAGGCCCTTACTTTCACGAAGGAATCTTATGCTGCAAATCCCAAGGGAAGAAAGACATCCTACCCAAATGGGGAAAGGTGCCCAACACCTAACTTTGCTTAGGTGCTTAGACCCCAGAATTAATTTAAATCCTTGCACATTCTGGGAAGAGTTCCTCAATTCTGAGCACTGCTTGTGAAAATAAGCCACCAAATTCCAGGGTCTAGGCACCTAACAGCAATGTGTTACAATGCTCAATACTGCAACAACCAAATTTCTCCCCAAATCTAAGGTTGTGCAACTTCATCAAGGCTATGAAGTCAGGTTTTGGTTGAAGAAGAGTGGTACCATAGGTATCCCAAAATGTTATTTGACTCGCTGTAATTACTAGTTTTTAACTAGTTAAAAACCAGCATTAAACTTGAGGACTGTCAAGTTTAAGTCCTCATCTCTGAAGAAATGTAGGACCCCGTGCTGAGCTACAAAACAAAGTTAGCCTTACAATTCCCAAGTTCAACCCTGAAGAATCTGTGAGGCGCTCCCAGAAACCTGTTTGATCCCTCATTGCTTAGGCTTTCAGGCAGACATTCGGGTGTTGGACTCAGTGGCTCTGCAGGCCGTAGTGCCTATTCAGCACTAATGCCTGGACCTGTCACAATATTAAAAATACCATTACTAATCACTGCAGTCTAGCCACCATTCAAACATACACGTTTGTAAGTTTTAAGGAAACAAACAAGTATTTTGAGTTGGGACACAGCTTTAATTTTTTCCCCTTCATATGCATTGTTATAGTTCAGTTATATTTTTCAATACAACATTCTCTCCAGTAAACAGGATATACCTCATTTTAAATAGCATTAATACATACCAACTGAATACGTTGATAGAAACTGTTCTGAGGCAATGGTTCATCGTGGTAAGATCAGGTGAAAAACAACAACAAGTGGCTTTAAAAAAAACCAATTTTTTCCTATACAGTCAGTTAAAGTTCATCTTGCTCACTGCGCTCACGGGAAGAAACCCAACGACTTACAATCAGTTCCTGAAATATAAAACACAATTATTATGGGGGGGAAGCTACAGATAATCAGTGAGGCATGCGGATTAAGCCTTTAGCAAATCGACATATATTATGTGACCACTGAGAAATTTTAGTAGATGACTACATTTGTTCCTGAAGGGAGCTGGTGTCACACACATTTTTCTCCCTTCATTTTTAAACATACATTAACCTTACGGTCGCCATAGGTATCCCTGTTTCCCCATGCAAATGCTTACGTTCACAGTAGCAGCAACGTTAAAATTTAGATTAGAAGATCTTAAGTCTTTAAAGAGCCTGCAATGCACTTCTCATGCCTTGGGGCACAAAGGAATCTAGTTATTTTGTTGCAGCTATGCGTGCAAAACCCAAAGCATGCTAAAGAGCAAGCAACAGTTCAAGGGGGCTCTTACAGTTAGCTGTCCAGCTGCCCCAAGGCAAAGGAAAGAGGTCATTACTCACCTGAACCTTAATTCTTTTCATACATTCTGGTGTCGACATCTCTTTTTCAGTCATGTCGGAAGGTCTAATCAAATAGCATAACATCAGTTCCTGTTGGTAAACAGAAAACACGAATACATGAACAACCGATTTCTTTCTATACAAGTCTTGGATTAATTAGAAATGGAGATACCAAGTTTCCTACAAGATGTCTTCTGCAAACGGAGTTGGGGAAAGCTGTATAATATGCGTATCTCATTTTCCTTACCAAAGCATAATACTGCTCTAAGATAAACTAGAATTATAACACCACACCTGAGCACCATGGCTATGAGTATGGAAGCACTATGTTTGAGGCTCTATCCCAGAGAAAACCTTTTGGAAACTTTCAGTTTCACTGTTCAAAAGAAAATCCTGGTAGATGAAGAGGGCTTTAAAAGCAGAAGTGGCAGGCAGGAAAGAAGTGTCCCTCGGGTCTTTCTTCTGTTCCTCACACAACTTTTAATGTTCCTACAGGCGACAGAACTTTTATAAGCTTCTTCCAGAATTCATCTGGATATTGGACAAAGGAAACTTGTTTGCCTGCTGGCAACTCAACGTGTTCTTCAACAGACTAGAAACAGAAGGATTATGTTTCCAGCCTCACTCCAACTCCCCGTTCTTTGGAACTAAACTGTACATTTATAATTTCAAAACTATTTTAAAACTAGCATCTTACCTTAGAAGCATTAACAGTTGTTCTGTTCAACCCAGACAAGGACTTCCAGCTGAGTGGTCTGCGAAGAGAACCTTCAAAATTATCATCAACTAATTCAGCAATGACAGAGTAACTGGAAAACAAAGCGGATAGGACAATTCACAGAAAGAAAATTACCACTTTAGGAAGATAATGAAACTTAAGAATTGGAGCCTAAAAATTGGCATTAAACAATATGCCAGCATGCAGTAAGCAAGTTGTGAAACTTAAGTGTCTTTCTACTAGGAAAAGAGGAGAAAAGATGAAGTTGTGAATATGCTTACTGGCACTTTCCCTCCCCACCCTTCTGCTGATGTTTGTAGCATTCTCTTATGAATACCAGTCTGACATTTATAACCAATTTATTACCTAGGAGTTCAACCTGACTAGCTAACAAATTAAGACAATTATCATCCCTTAAAAGTTTTTTCTCCCAAATTACATAAATTATCCATACCATATATTTTTAAAAGTATTACTAAATCAAATTACTTTCCTGAGTGCATTCATCATATGAGTGCTAAATATGCCTATTGCAACTTTTAATTTTCAATGTCTTACTACTGTTATATGAATTAAATGAAATTGTTATTTAGTACCTCTGCTAAAAGGATTTTTGCATTCCCAGTATGAATGCATCTGACAAAGCGTTTTGAGTGAAGAATATGTGCTTAACCAGTGAAGATACTAAATCTGTATGAGAGAAATTTACTAAATTTGAAACTAAGAAATTACACAGAAACATGAACTTCAAACCTTGCATGATAGAAGGGGGGGCCTTTTCGATACAGCACTGAAATGAAAGAGAAACACCTTAGTTAGATAATCACAGAGTTTCCAATCTGAGTTTAACACCTGGGTCCATAAATATTTTCAAACGTTTTGTAAGTTTTAATTACACAAGACAAAACTTCAACACTTTTGAATTCTGCTCAGAGTTAAGTTGTCCCAGCAAATGGAGAGAGAGGGAAGAGACCAAAAGAACGTGGGAGCAGCAGGGTGACTCAGGGCAGGGGAGTGGCTGGTAAAAGATAAAGTAGAAGAGTAGAAGGACAGTTAGCAATTGCCGTGGGAAGAAGTTTAGGATGGAATTTTTCTGCAACAAACTCATGCTTTTAACACTGTATTCGCAACAGAAGTTGAGCCACCGGAGTACAAGTAAAAGATCGCAATAAGCCATCGAATTTCTGTGCCAAGCAAGCATTTTCCACAAGTTTTAGGAGAAGCACAGGGCACAACTTCTTACATACTGCCCACCAGACCCACTAAAAGTTCTTTCTCTATACAAGGTACACAAGGTTCATTGCAGCTGAACTGCTGTAACTGAGCGAAATGGTTACGTTTCCTGCCTTGCCTTATAAGCTCTTCATGAGCCTGTAAGAGGGGACTTTTCTTTAACTAGCGCAGCTTTTCTCATACAGCTGGCTAGCATAGACCCTGTCAGGAAAAGGACGAGCAGCACTTCGTTCCAGTGACAACCATGATTTGCAAGTTATCCATTATAAGCAATTGTAGTAATATCAACTCTAAGAAGGTACTGCCAAAGAACAAGAAGCTAGAGCAGCTCAGGCGTAAGGCAGAACTCCTACTACCCTTAAACTAATCCACTTCCTTTGTCTGGCACAAATCCAAAGGCAGTGATACGCTACACAACAAATGCAGGCCAGAACACAAATGAACAGTGAACAAACTAGTATCAATTTCACATATACATCAGGTGATCAATAGCAAAACCCCATCTACAACCCAGGGTACTAAGAACAGTGACGATAAATTCAGCCAAACCTACACACTGATCTAAAGGACTAACTCAGCACAACCTTGACATGCTCAAATACACAAACCCTGAAATTATACAACTGCTTCAGCGGTATTAAAACACCTGCTGGTTTGCATGCATACATTAAAAAATATCTCCCTTTATGCAGAGTTTTCCTGTAATGACAGGCATTACTGTACTGCTTATGTTGACGTGAGCTGAATGTAGCTTGAATTACTTAGCAAGGGATTATGGACACTATTAATTATTTCTGTAAGATTAAAATCCCTACCATTAACAAATAAGCAAGTCCCTTCCCCCTCCCTCCCCCCCCAAAAAAAACCCCATACAGAGAAACAGTCTTAGCAGTAAGTTCAGCAGAAGTTCAGCTTCCATTAAACGGGATGAATAATGAGATGCATGGACTTTGATGTGAATTGGGATCTAGATGCAAACCTGCTATTCCAGAGACTGTCATGTTAACACTGCAGAAGATGTGTTTAGAAGGGGACAGAGAAACTTGGGAAGGGAATTTCAGTGCAATCCTGTATTAATTATTAACCTCATGAAGCAAAACAACAGGCCTTTCGAGCTATCTCTTCAGCTACTGGATATGTGATGTTATTTTCCACTCACATCCTAATTTGATTGCTAACCCATAGTCTAGCCAAAAATGTCTTTTGCCAACTGCAAGTAGCAAAGCCTGCTCCATTCATGCAGCTCCTCATTGTTGAATTCATCTTCGGCACTGGAGTCTTCTACTGCCTGAAAAGAAGTCAGTTACAAGTGGTTCCTTTTTTTTTTTAACGAAGCTACTCACAGAGATCAGTTCCATACTTCAGTCCGACTTTGGGGACCCAACCCTTACTGCGGAAGTAGTGATACGCCATGTAGGTAGTTTTAAAGTTGGGCTTCACTTCGCTGAAAACTTCCCATAGCTTCAAAATGGTTAGGGGCTCCTAAAAATCACAAAGGCATTAATGTGACTATATTAATATTAAGCACATATAGAATACTGTGTGTAGTACAGCATAACAGCCAAATATCAAGTATCACAGTCTACTGCAAAGAGCATGAACTTCAACCAATAAAATACAGAATCCCTAAATATAAGACAGAAACCTGTTGCTCCATTTAGTGGGTGGGGTTTTTTGCATTTCACAATCAGTCCCTTAATGCCCTTGTTTAAAGGAGAATCTGATAAATCTTAAACTAGAAGCATAGGTTTCAATTATTTTGTCATTACATTAACAGTAGCTTGATATACTTATAGATAATGCTTAAAACTCCAAGGAATTTTCCTGTTTCAGGAAAGAGAGACTATTCACCGTATTATTCCTCCCATACTTGCTCTCCCCATATTTCCTGCCTAAGTTACAACAAAAACGTCTCTCTACAGAACGACTGTGCTTAACTGTATTTGCCCTGGCACACATAAAACTTTCAGACCAGTATTTCATAAACAGAAATATCATTACTTATAAGAAAAGCTTCCTAATTACTCTGTTTGGTATTTCCTCCTTCAGAATTAACAGCATAAAATATTGCCATAGTAGGTAAAAATTTCAGACCAAAACATATCCAAACTAATGGTATCCCCAGTAATCCAAAATTAATCCAATCTCTTACCTCACCATAATAAATACTTAAACATCCCAGAGCATACACCAAGAAAAAAGCCTGAAAAAATAAACAGATTAAGTTTAACTGAAAGCTAAACTCTTCCTGTAGTTTATATTCCATGCAAGAACAAAGGCTCAAATTAATTTATACAAGAATCCTAATGTCATCAGAACAACCAAGTTGCCTGAAAGTTTCCTTTGAGATTTGTCTTCATGACCTTTACATTTCAACAGACACAGCATTACAAAAAATCTATGCATGTACTGCAGACTCCCAAAGGCACGGTGTTAAAACTAACACACGTGAATATATTTGGAAGCAGCACAATCGAAGCAGGATTTATATAAATGTTATATTCCTGGTATTTCTATACTTAAGTCCTATCGCTGGTCTCTTTGTCAGTGGGATTATTAATCTAAAGCGAATGGGACTAGACCCTACTTTTTTTTTTTAACCATATCATGTAATTATTGCAGATTATTAAAAACAAGTTGAATGACTAAGACAATCCAAACACTTCGGAGACACAGGAGAACCCTGTACTTCAGAAACAGGTATTAAATTATGTTGGAACATAGACTAATGTTTACTTTTCAGATTCAAAGTAAAACAACTTGTACTGTACTTGAAACATACCTCTTCCAAGCTGAGTTGTAAGTATTCAAAAATCCTAAATGGATTTCTTCTGCATACTAGCTTTTCCTTCTTGACAAGCTGCAAGAAAAGTTTACTATATTACTAAAACTTTAAACTGGAAAAAATACTGAATTCTGAAAATAGCACTGATGATACGATTTTTCTAAAAAGATTAGGATACTCTTTATCCTTACATTTTCTTGCGCATGAGCAGAGTCATCTCTAGGACATAAGCTACCTTCTTCTTCCTCTTGCACCAATACATATTCTGGAGTACGTTCTTTTGACTTGATCATCTCACAAGATCTTTGCTCAGTGCTCTCCTTAGCCTTGCAGCCGCAATGCATATGAAAACCATGCTTCTGGCAAGACACTTCAGCTATCTCTTTCAAGTCACCTTGTTCCTGTTCCTTAAAGCCACATATGGCCACAGGATCAAACGCTGGACCTCCTTCCAAACAGGCTTTCTTGTAGCCTTCATTCTGATTCTCAGGACTTAGGGCTACTACATTTCCAGTATCTGTAGAAGTTTGTCTGGAAAGTTCTGTATTTTCTGTATTTGGGCCCATTCTGTTGCAACTGTTACCAGCTTGTTCAGCTCCATCCTCTTCCAAAAATGGCAGCTCAAGAGGCTTAGTGTAGTTTTCAAGAATTTTGGTAACCGAGCGGTCATCAAATCCTTGCTGTTGCAAAATACTTTTAGCCCACTGAACATGACACTGGTACCTAGTAAACAAGTAAAATAAATGAGAAGTTCTAGGGCATTACATCCTTTAATTAACATCTTAAAAAAAAAAAAAGATTCAGCACAATTCACAAAACAGATCTGAACACACTCCCCAATAACTGCTATGCAAAATACAACATGCACAATGTAAGAGGACTCCAGTCTTCAGGAAACTGCAGACATTACCGAACATCAAGATTCTGCTACCTTCTTTGGCTTTGTTTTGCTACCTTCTTTGGCTTTGTTTTGCCTTTTAAATTTCTGTGGCAACGAACACCGTTACCGAACGTTGCACAAGAACCATGCACTGGGGACTACTGCTATATAGTTTCAAGAAGCAAGAGCTTCACCAGGCAAAAACTCCCTTCTCTCCTGTGGAAGCCGTAAGCCTGAATTCCCTGCAAAAACATCTTAGTATCAGAGCTTGCATGATTAAAATATGCAACAAGACTTTGCATATAGATCTCTCACACACTTCATCTATTATACAGCTAACTACAGAGAACAGTATCTTCAAACTCTGTTTTAACTACCTTTGAAACAGCAGTGGCATAGCAAAAACACCAGCGTAAAAATCTTAAGCGGAAAATACCTTCAGTTTTAACCAAAACCCTCACATCCCTGAGAAATAACAATTATCCTATCAGTGAGATAGTAGCTGAAAGCTGTACATATTCCTAATATTTTTCAATTACGATAGAGTTTTTAGTGCCCCTTTAATTATTTCTCCTTGGAATATAACATTAATATCCAGTCAAAACATTAATCTTCATTCTGTGAAATTTACAGGTAGCTGAGTGCAGCTGTCCTTATTCAAACCTGGACAACTCTAGTACAATACTCTTTATTTCCCCAAACAAAATCCTAGCACAGCAATTACAGACCAGGTAATGAAGAACTGCAAAGACAATTAAATGCAAGTTGCATGTGTCAACACAAAATATAAGTCCCTCTGAAGTCTCATAAGAAAGCTATGTAGTTCAGTGCTGTACTTTTTGTTATAAAAAATAGGCTCCTCTTTGTCCTGTGATTTAATTACCATATAATTGGCACTTACAGATCTCTACTGAGACAGATCACAATGCACCTTCTGCACCAATGTAATGACACTTTCATTGACACTCAGCTGTATTTGCTGACACATAAAGCAGTCACAAAGTAGACTAATAAGAACGACAAGTGTTTCTGCAAGCAGTAATAACTGTAGTAGCAGTAGTAGTAATACTGCTACCATTTGCCTTACCTGAAGTAGAGGACTGAAGGAGCATAACTTTTAAATTTAAGTAAAGTAAAATTTTTTAGAGTTATCATAGGATTAAAGCAAACAGAGTAACTAACTTGCACACTCTTCCAGTTAGTTCATATACTATTTAAGCAGAACAAAATAAATACGTGGTCCAACACTGTTTTCTTAAACATACAAACTAGCAATGTTAATAGACGCTTTGAAAAAAAAAAAAGGTAAACATTTATGTATTTTAAAAGTCCAAGAGCTGCTTCAGCCCACGCTATATTAACTCAATAAGGAATTGCGAAAGTTATTTTAAATAGCCTGCCCCAGAAACTTCTCTTTCTCTTCCTCAGCTGAAGAACAAGTTTATTATGGTTGCTATTATTATGAATTAATTACCTATACTGCTATGCATGCACTCAATCTTGGCTTCTAGTCAGCAGTTAATACATGCAAGCTTACATGAAAAACCACACCGAATATCACCTACTCTATTTCTACTTTTTCTAACGTGATTTATAAATGAAATACAAAGAAAAGAAATAGAAGCAAGTAATCAAGTTGGTGTATATAGCCAACTATCTGAAAACCAGTAGAATAAAACATAAGAGAATCATCTGTTTTCTAAAAAAACAAGAATAATGTAAATTAACTTACTTTTTTGATGCAATTATAGGCATGTTTATGTTAGCACCTGTATAAAGAAAAATCATACATTGTTTCATCAATATAAAAATGTTTTCATGTGATTTTGAGCATTGAGGTAATCCACGGCCTAATATTTACCCACATTTTCAATCCTCTATGCCATTTTGGTCCAACTTGCATTCAAGAAGGACATAGCAGAACTAGAAAAGGTACAGAGATAATGAAGGTTGAACACCCTGCACAAGTGGAACAACTTAACACACTATTTTTCTCCAGCCTGTAAAAAGACAGTCTTTCTATAAACAACCAAGAGCAGACCAGATGTAATTGGCTATAAGCAGATTAAAAATTTCACATATCCTTGCCTCATGATTTCATGGACACTAAAATCTACAGATTAAAACCAAGAAAAACCTGACAGTTATAGGAAGAAAAGTTCAAGGATGATACCTTTACTTACAGACTTCCTAAGCAACAAATCAGTGAAGGCTAGGAGAATGCACTAAGGAGCTATTGACATATGTTTCCTGTTCTTACATTTTTCCTAGGGATCTTGTACTGGCCATCATCAGAGACGAGGTCTGGGGAGGAAAGAGATCCTTGATCTGACCCAGCAGAAAGATTATTTTTCCGTGTGTAATTTATAAATATATATCTTCAATGAGTGAAGAAAAGTGAAAAGTAATCTTAGAATAGTGATGGAAGTACAAATGGGCACAATTTACCTTGCCACTTAGTAACCAGTAAAGGATCTGAAATGCTGTACACTGGTCGACTTCTTGAAAGGATACCTTTTCCAAAATAGCCCTGCAAAGAAAAGGAAAAAGTCCTTATTATATCATCAGACAAAAATGAACTTCTTTCCAAATACAAAATGTTTACTGCCAAGATCAGCTGCAAAAAATAACTGAAATTCTGCAGCATTTAAGCTTTGCCTAAAGCTTGTTGCTTAGCTTCTGATAACTAGTTCAATATTAAACACCTGCACTCAAAGATTTAACCAGTGGAGGGTGTTGGGTCTTTTTCCTCAATTCTAAATATTTGTCAGTCGGCATCTCCAAGTAGACTCTTGAAAGCAGATGCAGAAGAAAACACCTGTGTACCAACGATGTGACAATGCATAATAGAAAGCAAAGAGATGGATAAAGCTACTGCGCAAGAATAGTGGTGAAATGGTACTCAGACATAACAGGCTTAATGTAGCTTATTTTACTCAGGAAGAAATCACTCTGAAGTTAAAAGAATTATACAAGAATTTATAAAACATTAATATTCCAGCCTCCTGAGCTTTAAAAACAAGAAAATGCTTTTGCAAGGTTGCATAAAATGTTGAAAGGAAAAATAAACATAACAAACGTGAAGTCTTTGCAGCTGTTTTTTAGCTCACAACATCACTTCATTCCAAAATGTATTTGCTGGGATAAGAATTAAATACTTCTCACATTTGATATGGAATATATGCTTTCTACTGATTTCAGGAGAGGAGGGAGATATGGAGGATTACTGGAGGCTGAAGGGAAGGAAAGCACAAAGGCAGGCAGATTTTAACAAGTATTATGCTCTACCTATGTCTAAACCACTAAAAATACTGTGCAAACAGGGTACAGCACCTTGTTATAAAGCCGTTCGATATCTTCAGGGTTCCTCACTATAACGTTGTTGTTAATGATTTCAGCCTGGCATATTCTGAAATCCTTCCCACCTACATCCACAGGAAAGGGAGAGTCATATGACTCAAAAACTCTTCTTTTCCTTCTTGGGGGATGAAAAACTGCTTCTGCCATTTCCTAATGTTAACGTTTCATCCTAAAAAGTGGAAACAAAACATTTAATGTTCAGGAGTTAAAGTTCACCCATTTTTCTATGTTTCCGCAATATTCCCTTCCCAATTGCAAATTAGCAAAAATCCTACAGTACAATCCAAATTTAATTCTGTAACTATTGTGCCAGACAATCACAGGCAGCGATTTGCTAGCGTTATCTGTTAATCTTTTCCTCTTGGGCATTGCAGTATCCCCTGCAGACCAGGTAGGGATAATTCTCAGCCAAGAGGTTCTAAAGTAAACTTAAGATGAAAGGCGAGTACATAAACTGCTGAAAACATTTCAAGAATAAAACAGACGAATGAGTAGAACGGCAGAAACCACAGCACGCAAGTGCCTAAATATAAACTGTTTTGAGTAATTACGGGAATAAGTCTGGAAGAGCGAGCAGTGGCCTGGCAGGTTTGCCTTCTTTAAACAGGGAACCCCTTTCACGAGGGAAAGCGGACAGAGCCCGACCCTCTCTGCCAACGTAGGGGACAGGTAACCCCCACCGTCAGCCCCCGCCACCCAGGGGGTCGCGCCCGCACGCCGCGGCTCTGAGCGCCCTCGCTACGGCCCCGCCGCGGACCGGCCACCGGCAGAGAGGGGACAAACCCTGCTGATGCTCGGGCGCAGGAA